GACCCCTGGAACTCTCTCCAGGTAAACTCCAGGTAAACTGCAATCCTCGCTCAAGGAGAAAGATCTTGGCGTGAGTATAACACTGAACGCTTCTCCCGAAGCACACATCAACCAGATAACTGCTGCAGCATTTGGGCGCCTGGCAAACCTAAGATTAGCTTTCCGATACCTAGGTAAGGAATCTTTCAAGACACTATACACCGTGTACGTCAGGCCCACACTGGAGTATGCAGCACCAGTTTGGAACCCGCACCGGGTCAAACACATTAAGAAATTAGAGAAAGTGCAAAGGTTTGCGACGAGGTTAGTTCCAGAGCTAAGGGGAATGTCCTATGAAGAAAGGTTGAGGGAAATCGGCCTGATGATACTGGAGGACAGGAGGGATAGGGAAGACATGATAACGACATACAAAATACTGCGTGGAATAGACAAGGTGGACAGAGACAAGATGTTCCAGAGAGGGGACTCAGAAACAAGAGGTCACTCTTGGAAGTTGAAGACTCAGATGAGCCACAGGGATGTTAGGAAGCATTTCTTCAGTCGTAGAGTGGTCAGGAAGTGGAACAGTCTGGCAAGCGATGTAGTATAGGCAGGAACCATACATAGCTTTAAGACAAGGTATGATAAAGCTCGTGGAACAGGGAGAGAGAGGACCTAGTAGCGTTCAGTGAAGAGGCAGGCCCAGAAGCTGAACCTCGACCCCTGCAACTACAATTAGGCGAGTATGTACACACACACACACACACACACACACACACACACACACACACACACACATGTCAGGCCCATACTGGAGTATGCAGCACCTGTTTGGAACCCGCACTTGATAAAGCACGTCAAGAAACTAGAGAAAGTACAAAGGTTTGCAACAAGGTTAGTTCCAGAGCTAAGGGGAATGTCCTATGAAGAAAGATTAAGGGAAATCGGCCTGACGACACTGGAGGACAGGAGGGTCAGGGGAGACATGATAACGACATATAAAATACTGCGTGGAATAGACAAGGTGGACAAGGACAGGATGTTCCAGGGAGGGGACACAGAAACAAGAGGCCACAATTGGAAGTTGAAGACACAAATGAGTCAGAGAGATAGTAGGAAGTATTTCTTCAGTCATAGAGTTGTAAGGCAGTGGAATAGCCTAGAAAATGACGTAGTGGAGGCAGGAACCATACACAGTTTTAAGACGAGGTTTGATAAAGCTCATGGAGCGGGGAGAGATAGGGTCTAGTAGCAACCGGTGAAGAGGCGGGGCCAGGAGCTAGGACTCGACCCCTGCAACCACAAATAGGTGAGTACAAATAGGTGAGGTGAGTACACACACACACACACACACACACACACACACACACACACACACACACACACACCACACACACAACACACACACACACACACACACACACACACACACACACTCACACACTCACACACTCACTCACTCACTCACTCACTCACTCACTCACTCACTCTCACTCTCAGTCAGTCAGTCTCAGGGGCCCGAGACTGTTCAACTGCCTCCCAGCATACATAAGGGGGATTACCAACAGACCCCTGGCAGTCTTCAAGCAGGCACTGGACAAGCACCTAAAGTCGGTTCCTGACCAAACGGGCTGTGGCTCGTACGTTGGTTTGCGTGCAGCCAGCAGTAACAGCCTGGTTGATCAGGCTCTGATCCACCAGGAGGCCTGGTCACAGACCGGGCCGCGGGGGCGTTGACCCCCAGAACTCTCTCCAGGTAAACACACACACACACACACATACATACATACATACATACATACATATACAGTGGAACCTCTACTTATGAGTGCATCCACATGCGAGTTTTTCTAGATACCTGGAGTTTACCTGGAGAGAGTTCCGGGGGTCAACACCCCCGTGGCCCGGTCTGTGACCAGGCCGCCTGGTGGATCAGAGCCTGATCAACCAGGCTGTTACTGCTGGAGCAATTGCTCAGTCGGCTCTTTGATGCCGGTGAGGGGCTCTTGCTCTTGATCTAGGGAATTAAATCTCATTTGTTTCTTGGACTATCTTATTGAAACTTAGGCAATGTATGATGGAAAGATGCTTCTTAGTGTACACCAAAAATGAAGAGATTGGACCATAAATAACGGGGTTCACTTCTGAGCCATTAGCCTCCCCTTAGCGGTATATTTTCGTATGGTTTTTATGGTTGTATTCTCATTTTTTTTTTTGTCTCATTTGATAGAATGGAAGATATACTACAGAAACAGATATGATTTTGACTGGTTTCACAACGAAAAGTACCTTGAAATTAAGCTCATATTAGCAGAAATGTTCGATTCTTTGGCGATGTTCAAGAGTGAACAAATGATGTCACCATCCAGTGCCTGTCTGATTGACACTGCCCCTCAACCTTCACGTATTGGAAAGCTCTTCAACATGCTAGCAAAAGTGGGAGCAGACATCATGAGGTGGCAGTGGCGGACAACATGAAGCAGCTGTGGCAGACATCATGAAGCAGCATTGGCAAAGTGTAACATTAAGAGTGTAGCGCTTATAAGTCACTCTGACTTTTTTGGGTTATCCTAGGTTCTCTACACATGTAGGAGCAGAAATGGCCACTGTGGTGGCTCTATAAACCCCAACAGCAACAATGGCTACTGTCACCACCACTAGCCACATACATAATGGCATGTATGTGTATATATCATGTTTCTATGTTATTAATATTGTTTGTCATATTTCACGAATTGTGATAGATAAACTGTAGAGCTGATATAAGGGAAATTATTGAAGTATTTTCTCATGCCTGGAATTCCATTGGAACAAATTAACTCCATTTCAGTTAATTTAAATGAAGAAAATTGATTCTGCAAATGAGCAAATCCAGATGCGAGCAAGGTCATGGAACAGCAAGTGTGCGTGAGCGTGTTAGATAGGAGTGAATGGAAACAAATGGTATTTGGGACCTGTTGATCTGTTGGAGTGTGAGCAGGGTAATATTTAGTGAAGGGATTCAGGGAAACCGGTTATTTTATATAACCAGACTTGAGTCCTGGAAATGGGAAGTACAGTGCCTGCACTCTAAAGGAGGGGTTTGGGATATTGGCAGTTTGGAGATATATATTGTGTATTTTTATACGTATATACTTCTAAACTGTTGTATTCTGGGCACCTCTGCAAAAACAGTGATTGTGTGAGTGAGGTGAAAGTGTTGAATGATGAAAGTATTTTCTTTTTGGGGATTTTCTTTCTCTATGGGTCACCCTGCCTCGGGTCTCCTGCCTCGGTAGGAGACTGCCGACTTGTTGAAAAAAAAAATATATACTATATTGCGTCCACGAACAAGTGGTTGTAAGAAAAGTGCTTAATTGAACCTTTGAACGCACACCAATAAACTAAGATAAAAACAGATACAAAATGCAAGAGGCTATACATAAATCGTGCATCTGATCTAGGCATCTGTTTATTCATTACCATCATTAGGTTTTCCTCAATATGTGAATACCTTATTACAACAATTTTAATTACTTCCAGCAGGTAATGGAGCTTTCTTACACATTAGCATTTGGCCCTTGATATTATTTCCAGGAGGACTGTCGTAACACATTTGTATAGGAATTCTTTCTTGGTTACAACCCACAAGTCTTCTAACATATACAGTAAGTTACTTCAGTCCTCTTATTGTTAGGTGAGCGAGGGTGTTCGGGGAAAATTTATCCATACATTTCATCGACCTGAAGCTGAAATACAGGATAAAATGCCTGGATCAGAGAACTAATGTGTTCCAACATATCTTCAGAATAATATATAGATGGTCTATCAGTGAAGTAGAGATGCATATATTTTCGTACTATTAATTTTCTTTTGTAATTAAACTTTTTGACAAACATTTGTGAGAAAAGGCTGTGCGAATTGCCTACGTCAAGTACAGTGAAGTTCACTACTACAGTAAATGTCTTTGAGATATAAATCGCCAAATGAAAGCTTAATTAAAATTTAATTAGAAATAAACAGAATTTTCCCATCTAATGGGCATATCGCTTAGATAGAATAGTGAACTCAAGAATTCCACATAACAGTATTGCTGAATACTAAAGGCCCTGGACAGATATGGTAGTGATCTATGATGTACTACAACGATACTTATGACCCAAATTTATTACCAGCACTGTTTATCCATGTATTCCTCTTTGAGTGGCTACATTAGTACATACTACTGTAGCTGAAGTTTGGTAACAAAACTGCCTCCCTGCTGTAACATGCCTTGTTAACTAATGACATGGCTTTTAAATTCCCTAGAAATGGGTCCAGAAAACTGAGAGATCACAAACAATGTTTGGGTATTGTTTCTGTTATCACTAGTTTTATATTCACTAGCAGTTGCCATGCTGAGAAGTATGGTAAGTTAATCGTTTATACATTTTTTAGTATCTGAAATAAAAAAATTATTATAAGAGTATATTAGCACTTTCTATTTTGAAGTGTTTTAGACCTGTATAGTATTTGGGTGATATACTTTATATATAGTTAGTCTTTGACATGGGAACTCAATTATTAATTATTTTTTTCAACATTATACAATAATGTTTTAGTACTGATGACCATATGCATTACATGATGAAGGAATTAGGATGATAATCTTTATACTCAAATATTTGCTGAACAGCAGCAAGATAATTCTGCATTAAAAATCAAGGAAGCCTTTTGTAATGACTGATTTTCTAAAAACCCCTTTACATTCTCCATTTCCTGCATCTGTTTTATTCCTTTTACATTTTTTTCTTGCAAGCACCTGTCACTTTTGACTTCAGTTTTTTCACTATAACACGCATTGACGCAAAGACCAACTTTCATCCCTTCCAAGGTTTTGTATTCCCAATGACTATTAGACATTTGTTTAAGAATTAGAAGGATTTGATAGCCCCCTTTATATGAATAATTACAAAAAAATAAAAGTTAATGAAGACTTTCAAGGGATTATAGAATAGTGAGGATTAAAGACCGCCCATGCGCTATGTCCTCCTTGCTAACAGGTCCGCAACATGGGCGCGGGCGGGTCTACCTGCCTCGACTCACCTGCACGCAGGGCTAACTTGCACAAAGCTGTGGGCCTCTACCCTTGCCACAAGCAAGGGGGTAACCAGGTAACCTAGCCACAGTAGAGCAATTAATTAGCCGTGCAGTAGATACATAGTAGTTCTTAGTCCCCCCTCGAAGAGTCAACTAGTGGTCAAAGGATCTGATAAAGAACATCACAAGGAGCAAGAACATGAGATGATGGCAGACGACACTGGAAGGTTTGCATGTGTTTCATTGCTTTGCTGGTGTTTAGTTCTGTGCATGGTATGCCCTAGCTATCCTCTTGTCTTTAATTAACCTTAATTTGCTTTTGCAGTTTACCAACTAATTTTTGATTGTGTAAATGGAAAAAGAGTAAGACTGTTATGTATAAACATATTACTCTCTATATAATACTTAGAAAAAACTTCTAACTTGTACGTTTACTAGTTTGTATTATTTTCTAACATATGTGAGGTAGTGTTGTTTCATTATTACATTCTGTTTTATCTTGGTGATGTTTAAATTTACAAGTACATTCCCTTTGATCAAAACTTGTAGTATTTGAAGCTTCAGAATAGAATCTTGCCCATTTCTCTAGTTTTTTATTAATCTGACCTAGTTAAGCTGTGTTCTGAAAGTCTTCTCATTCTAATTTCTTTGACTTAATTTATATTTACTTACAACTTGAATATCTGCTTTACCATCTGTACATAATTATGAAACAATGCTTTGTTCAGATATTGGCCAAGTAGCCAGGAAAATGATTAAAAACATTTATTAGCATTATAGAATGACTGCATTTTGTCATCCCAAGTCATTGCAAATTTATTTTAATCTGTTACAGTAGTGATTATATAGATAGATATACCGGTAGTGTGTTGTAATTTAAGTTTTCTTAGACCACACAGTTTTAAGTCTTTCCTAATATACCTAACATTTCCTTAAAAGCTATATTTAGATTATAAATCTTTATTCTAGCGAAACCTTTACTTGTGCTCGTCCTACTACCATATGAAGCTTACTGGTGCTCTCTCAACTGTATTTGCTTGAATTCTTCAAAAGAATTAACCGTAGTTGTTTGAATGTGGGTTATGCTACTGTACCCTGATTGTTCCCTCCTAACTTGTACCCTACTGAGCCCTGCCAACTGCATGGTGATTGTGGCAGTAGTAGTTAGTGTTGTCTATGTGCAACAGATCCACAACCAGAGGACCGGTCAGTGTGTGGATTCCGCTGCCAAACCTGAAGATAATCACAAACCAGTTGGACTCTGGCCTTGCCATGGCCAGGGTGGCAATCAGGTAAGTAATTCTGATGCAGCTTACCGGCTTTCAAGGAAAATTATATATTGTATAAGGTAAGCACTTTGGGTATTTTATTTTATAGCGAGTCAAGGTATAATTTTACTGATAACTTTTAAGTATATTTTTATTAAGTATTTTTAGTATTATTTTCATGTAATGTTAGTGCATTTAAAGAGGAAAGAAGCACAAAATAATGGAATTTAATGGTAAAGAATGGATATTGTTATAAGAGATAATCATGCACAAGTTAAAAATGTAAGAAAAAGAATGGTTCTTATGAAGAGTTAATTGAATATCCCAATATGTATAATAGATTCACATGACATAAGCCTTGGTAATGCCTAACACAGGCACAGCTTTCAGCGTGAAAGTCTTTCAAACTGCAGACATCTCCTGTACACATCTCTTGTTCAGGTTGTTGCATTTGCATGCATATGTATGTGTGTTTAGACATGCCCCTAGATTTGTATATGCTTTCCCCAATATATACCTCACCATAGCTTCCACACAGGATGATTTAAACCCTTTTATTAACTGGTTCGAAGTTCTTCACTTCGGTCATGATTGATGCACTGGTTGCTGGTTGTGAGAGTGCTGTGGAGATGTTCAGGGCGACTTGGCTGTTGGAAAGAATGAAAACTTTGTTCACAATGGTGTCAGTTAATGGAGAGAGATGAAGGGCTCGTTTCTCGCTGTCTTTGATGAAATATAAAGGAAAATGTAGCTCAGTAAAAGTTTGATGAATATAGGAGCATTTTTTGTATACGAACTCCGGGATGCAGTATACAGTGGACCCCCGGTTAACGATATTTTTTCACTCCGTAAGTATGTTCAGGTGCCAGTACTGACCGAATTTATTCCCATAAGGAATATTGTGAAGTAGATTAGTCCATTTCAGACCCCCAAACATACACGTACAAACGCACTTACATAAATACACTTACATAATTGGTCGCATTCGGAGGTAATCGTTATGCGGGGGTCCACTGTATTTTTTTGTAGGAAAGGCCTGTGATAATACTTAGTTTAGTCTGTCTTAATTGGAGTAGAAGCATGTGTGTGTGTGATCCTTTTTGCTTCTAGTCTTTCTGTAGAATTAAAATTTATGGATAAAGACGTCGAGGAAAAATAATGTTTTTACGTTATTTTCAAGTCTGGACCAAATTGTCGGTTAAGCATTTTCTGAAGGTTATGGATATCAAAAAGTTTAAGAGTAATTACTAGAACATTATATATCACACACCCACCTGACGTTGCTGGGATATTAGGGAAGTGTTCAGTTTCTAGGTATTGGATGTGAAGGATCGCCAAGACAGCACTGATAGGGTAACCCACCCTTATGACCATTTCATGTTTGCATATAGAGATTGCTGTTGAAACAGAAATGGTTAATGTTCACTCATAAATAATTCAGGTTGGTAAATTTTCAGGGGGAGGCAGATAATTAAGGTTCTAGCTTCGCTTTGGAGATCAGTGGCTTGTGTTATGGTGAAAGGATAGTAACATCAAGATTACAAAGTTTCTTGTTCTAGACTGACATGACTTTCTAGATGAATGCTTCTCATACACCAAAGCTTCACTGAGCTACAATTACCTTTCCTTACGAAATATGTACTACAAAATAAGGCCTTCACATCAACTCTCTGCATAGTGACACCACTTTGAAGAAAGGTATGTTCCTCAAAAGCCAATTTTCGCTAAAAGAGTCCAGAACATTTTTGTTAGGCAACACCTGGACTACCATAGCAGCCAGCACATCCATCAAAGACCTCACCAGGACCAAAGTAAAGAACCTTGAACCAGTCAACGTAGTGGGTTCACATTATCCATCACAGAGAATGTAACAAGGTATTCATTGGGAATGGACATGTCTCAGCAGTTTGTGCATGTAAATGACACAATATGAACAATGCATATATTCAAAACTTTACCACTAGTTACCTGATGAAATGGAATAATACTCGCTTAGTCATTAACCCTTTCAGGGTCCAGAGTCCAAATTTCAATGTGTGCACCAGGATCCAAGAATTTTCAAAAAATAATTTTGTTATTTTTTCTTGTGAAATGGTAGAGAATCTTTTTCTGAAGGTAATAAAACAAAAACTACGAAATTTGATGGAAAATTGCTGAAATTATGCTTTTACGAATTTTAATGTCGGCAATATTTACGCAGCTGCGATTTTTGCCAACTTTGACTCCCATTTTAGGCCAATTACACTATTCCAGTCAACCAAATTCTTAGCTATTTCACTAGTATTACTTCTTTTCTATCGATTGAGCACAAGAAATCGCCAAGTCAACTGTTTCAACAACAAAATAAAGTGACCGGAAATTGGTAATTTTGCCAATTTAATGCAAAGTTCAAAATATTCCAGTTTCAAAATAGGGTCCAGAAAAACAATGCAGGCATTCCTGGCACTAAACTAACATTTCCTCTGTTCATTAGTTACGTTTTCAGGCTTTACAAATGAATTCCATTTTGATTTTTATTCACATAATGACTTTTTATTCAAACCAAAAAATAGAAGATTTACTGTTATGCAATACTGTAATAATTGTATAAATAATATCACCACATTTGTGAATGTATATTAGACCCACCAGCTGTCATATATTAAGACTTGTGAGGTCATTAGTTTACTCTTGAACATCGGCAAAAATTTAACATTTCTGCTACTTTGAGCTTAGTTTCAAGCCATTTTCAGTACTAAAACCAATCAAAATCTCTATTTCTGTAGTATATCTTCCATTCTATCAAATGAGATCAAGAAATTGCAAATACAACTATAAAAAACATACGAAAAAACACTGCAAAGTTGCTGTTTTAATCGAAAGTTACAGTCTCAGTTTTTTTTATCTCATTATGCACTGTGTACTGCTGGATTTGTTTTATGTGGTGCACACATACCACATAGATGTATTCTCTCATATCTAGGCCCAAATTTACTGCTCACAGCTTATCAAAGTGAGCTAAGCTCATGGCGTAGATCTACGGTTTGGACCCTGAATGTAAAGCCGTAGATCTACGGCACGGACCCCGAAAGGGTTAAGGAACCAGAAGAACACAGACTGAAATGCCTAGAAGTGGCATTGATCACTATTTCAGATATTACAACAAATTCCTCTTAATCTCCGAAATATAGGACCCGGTTAACGATATTTTCATTCAGAAACATGTTAGTGCAGTACTGACGATTCTTTCCCAATGAATGTGAAGTACGTTAGTCATTCAGACCCCAACATCACGTACAAACGCACTTAATAAATACACTTACTATGTCATTTGGAGGGCATGTTAAGCGGGTCCACTGTATTCGTGAATCCTTAGGGGTGACGTCTTCTCCAATAATTTAACTGACTGTTACCAAGCCTCTGCATCTACTTTATACACATTTAAACCTGTTTCACTGTTGTTAGCTTTATCCTCTACAATAAAGTCCTACTGTTCCTCATACAATTTATTGTCAGCAAATTTACCATTAATGGAAAAAGCAAGGTTTTGGAACCAGCACTGATAATTCCGTATCTCCGTAACATGCCACAGATTGAGATGAATCAAAAATTAATACTGTATACTAATTTAGAGTAAGGGGAAAGAAATCTAATATGTATATTTAAGAAACTGAAAGAAAAAGTAAGGCCCCCCCCCCCAAAAAAAAAAAGATATTAATAATCAAGTATATAGAAAGAGGCAGAGCAGAGGAAAAAATGTGAAACATAATAAATATGAAATTCAAGTCTTTTACCATTTATTCAAAGAGAAAGTCTGGAGGAAAGGCTTTGTGGCAATTCTTCAATGTGAAATGATGTTCACAGCAGAACCAAGTGCTGTTCTAGCTAATCTTGTCCAGACTATTGGTCATAGTCGATCCAGTTCACTGTTTACTCTGACTCAGAGTGCTCTGTATGCCCTGCATAACATGCTCCAGTGAACCCGCTAGTCCAAAAGATATGAAAGTAGGCTGCCCATTTCAGTGGTTGGCATAAGATAGTGGAATGCTCTTTGTGGGCTCTGTTGGGGCCTTTTATAATAAGAGAGATGACACAGAGTTGAACTCTGCTGTATTGAGCATACTTTTGAGTGCCACATAGTTACATCTTGAATAACTCAGTTTGTCCATTGAAAGTAGCTGGCTGGTTGGGTCCTAGAGAAGAGTAGCTAACTGAACAGAGTTTATCCAGACATAAGTGGTTTGCAGTACTAATTCTGTATGAATTATAGCTTTGAGATTATTCTCTGCAGGGTTCACCTATCACCTGCTACTTTCTGTAGCACATTGTGGTGCTCCATTAACTGTAGCATATGCATTCTGTACCTGTTAAGAACATTTCAAACAAGGCATAACTGTGGTCATCTTGGAGACAAATTACCATCGCACAACTTAATTACTTGATTAAATTCTTGATCGTGTTCAATAATGAATATATGACATTGTGGCTCAAGCTCGACAAATTTGTTAGAAATGTAAATCGTTAAATTTTTCCCCACTTTGATAAACATATGGAACCCACTCACCAGTAAAGCTGTTGACACTAAAAGTGCATTACTCTGCAAAACTGATTTTAAAAACCTTCATAGGTGGGGTGGCCTCTGCATATACATTAATTTCAGTTACTTGGATTCCAGCCATATAATCAGCTGGCATAAAATGTGTAGCTAAATGAAGGTTTCTCAATTTTTTGTTGATACAGAAGTTATATATCATTTACTTTGTTCATAAATTCCTTAATGCTAAGAATTATTTGCCATATTTTTTTACAGTGCAACATATAAAAAAACCTCCCACTTTTACATGTGTGTGTGCGTAATCTTAAGAAAGCTCTCATATCCTGTAGATAAAGTCCTGATGTTTATGATCATATCTGCCAAATTTAAGTGTTTTATGTACATTTTTGTTACTGTCAAATTCATAATTGCATTAAATAACTTGAAAATACTTATTGTTTTCATAGTGAACATTGCATTAGGAAAATATTTTACATCTTCCAGTACTAATACTTAATTCTTTTGTTAGTATTGGATGCTGAGTAAAGAAGGAGAAATCCGGAGAGATGAGGCATGCATGGATTATGCTGGAACTGATGTCATTCTGTATCCCTGTCATGGCTCAAAGGGCAATCAATATTGGGAGTATAATCCAGAGGTAAGTGATTGACTTCATTTGGCTGAGTATTGTAGTTAACTCATGTTGGGAAGCTTTTATCACAGTGGGCATTGCAACTTAATTCAGAAAGCTCTGTCAGACTCAGTATTGTAATTAGATTCAGTTGGAAAGACTTGCCAGACTGGGTTTTATAATTAAATTGTTGCAGTTCTTTGTCAGGCAGAGTATTGTAATTGCCTTTCATGACATAAATGTTACGTCACTAATAAAAATGTAGTGACATGAATATTAATAAAATTATTATTACTTGTAATTATGTTACACAACATAGAATTTGAAAAACAAAATATTTATCTGAAGAAATCATTTCTGGAAAATAGAATGAAAAGCATTGTCATTAACATCAAATATGTGTAAATAAAAAAAAGGGCTATAATAGTTTTATTAGTATTATCATTACAATCAAAACTAAGCGGTAAACGTACAAGGGTTATACAGCGCTGACCAGTTTTATAACTTAGGAAAGAGAAAGACATTCGGTAAAAGACTTTCAGATGTTTCATATTGTTTAAAGAATTAACCAGTATTTGATCACAAATGCAACATGAACATGTATTGAAAACCTACTTGAATTTAATAATTATTTAAAGTGCACTGATCGAAGGGAATATTGAACTAATAAATTTGTGATTCATACATTGTAAATCAGATGCCAGCAAACTTAAATTGATAACCAACTGAGTGCAAATTTGCATTATTTACTCTCAGTGTCACTTTATCAGGTACACTTGTATACCTGGTAGGTAAGACACATAGGCAACTTTATTCCGAAACGTTTCGCTTACACAGTAGGCTTCTTCAGTCGAGTACAGAAAGTAGGCAGGAGCAGTAGAGATGTGAAGACGATGTAATCAGTCCATCACCCTTGAAGTCATAGATTTGGGGTTGTCAGTCCCTCACCCTGAAGAAGTTCTGTTCCAAAGTCTGGAACTAACTGAAGATCAAGCGACAGTGTTGAGACTTTAATACTGCCGAAGGAGAGGTGCAGAGCAGTAGTAGTGAGAATGTAGCCACTGAGCAGTCATGTCCCTCTCAGATCAAACAATTCTCACTTGAAAAAGTTGTCCAGGGTGTTTTCTCTTCTGTACCAAGATGCCATTGTGTTGCAGTGTTTGACAGAGTGAATGTACTCGACTGAAGAAGCCTACTGTGTAGGCAAAACGTTTTGGAATAAAGTTGCCTAAATGTTGCCTATGTGTCTTGCCTACCAACCTGTCGGTATTGTATACCATTTTGATATTCACACGTGTATACCTGCTTGTTAATGCAAATATCTAATCAGCTAGCCATGTGGTAGCATCTCAATACCAAAAAGCTTGCAAACATTGTCAAGAGGTTCATTTGATATTCAGACCAAACAACAGAATGGGGAAGAAATGTGATCTAAGTGACCTTGACTATAAAATGATTGGTGTCAGACAGGGTGGTCTGAGTGCCTCCTGGGATTTTCATGAACAGTCTCTAGAGTGTACAGAGAATGGTGTGAAAAACGCAAAACATCCTGATAGATTTAGATTTTGCCACTGAAGTGGCTAGTTTATTGTGCACCCCATATTCATCCTGTGGATGCAAGAGTATATGGATACACAAAAGGCCTAGGAACTAGGCCCCAAAAGGGTTAACAGGTGTACATTTGGATTTATATCTACATATCTACAGTTCACTTATGTTACAAGCAAGTTTAGGAAATTTGCTTAGTATATCTGGTATCTTATTTTCATTAATAAGATATCTTGATATGTCACATAGGTTATTATACTGTCTATCTCTGTATTCCTAAATAAGTGGACAGTTAAGCACATAGTGTTCAAGACAATGACTATATGCCTGACCACATAATTTGCATTTAGTTTGATCATCTGTGTATCTCCCAAATTGCCAGAAGCAGTTCTTGTAACCAAGCCTAAGCCTGGCCAATACAACATCAGTCAGTCTGTTCACATTGCAAGTTGCTCCATAAACATACTTATCTATGTTCATGTTATCATAGTGAGTTATAGATCTACTCAGACTTCTAACTGCATTCCTATAACAATCATTTTCATTATTTACTTCTCTCCTAATATTATTCCTAATGTTAGACACAGATATACCGAAGTTATATTCTACATTCTCCTTCATGGTACTCTATTGGCTAACATATCAGCTTTATCATGGAGAAATAACAAAAAAGGCACAATACCGTGACTGGAACGATACGCAAATAACCCGCACGACGACGTTTCGGTCCGACTTGGACCATTGACAAAGTCACACTGTGACAGTGTGGCTTTGTCAATGGTCCAAGTCGGACCAAAACGTCGTCGTAAGCTTCTCTCTTTTATGTGCGGGTTATTTGTGTATTTATCATGGAGGAATCCTGTGTGTGATGGGATCCATAGCAATTGTACATTAATTCCTTTGTCCTGGATTTTTGAATATCTATACCTGACTTCTCCAGTGAGCATGTTGTTAGTAATTATACGAGTCAAGAGCCTTCAGTGATGACACAGAATCAGTAATGATGATAGAGTGAGCGGCAGTTCTGTGTTAATAAGAGGTCAGCGTTTCAACAGTGGTATGAAGTAGAGCATTTCTGAACACTCAACATGTCAAACCTTGAAGTGGATGGCTTAAAGCAGCAGAAGACCACACTGGGTTCCACTCCTGTTTACCTGGAGTTTACCTGGAGAGAGTTCTGGGGGTCAACGCTCCCGTGGCCCGGTCTGTGACCAGGCCTCATGGTGGATCAGAGCCTGATCAACCAGGCTGTTACTGCTGGCTGCAATGGGCACAGGTACACCAAAATTCGACAGCTGAAGATTGGAAAAACTTTGCCTATTCTGACGAATAGCAATTTCTGCTATGACACACAGATGGTAGGGTCAGAACTTGGCATAAACTTTTGGGTTGTGATGGAATGGGAGATTCACATCATGAATGTGCAGCCGATAAATCTGCAGCATCTGTGAGATGCTATCCTGTCAACATAGACCAGGATCTCTAAGGAATGTTTACAGAGCCTTGTTGAATCCATGACATGAAGAATTCAGGCTGTTCTGGAGGCAGAGGGGAGGGGAAGGAATGGCCCTACTCAGTACTATAAGGGTGTACTTAAGAAAGTGGCCACTGAGTGTATAGTTCAGTTAATTTTCTGAGATAAAATAAGTTGTTGATATAGTACTAAGAAAAACTGAATAATGTATGAACATTTTTACTAGCCTCAAATTTTATTCACAGAATTCAGATATGTTAACAGTAGCCTTTATCTGCACTCCAAAATTTATTTGAATTAATTTATTCCCTTTAACCCGTAAACGGTCCAAACGTATATATACATTTTTTCAACATTTGAAAGTCTGTAAAAAAAGTAGATCGTCTTTTTTTTTTTTTACATTTGAAAACGTGTAAAAAAAAAACTTTGATCTACTTTTTTTTTTTTATATATTTGAAAATACAGTGGACCCCCGCATAACGATCACCTCCGAATGCGACCAATTATGTAAGTGTATTTATGTAAGTACGTTTGTACGTGTATGTTTGGGGGTCTGAAATGGACTAATCTACTTCACAATATTCCTTATGGGAACAAATTCGGTCAGTACTGGCACCTGAACATACTTCTGGAGTGAAAAAATATTGTTAACCGGGGGTCCACTGTATGTAAAAAAAAACGTAGATATACTTTTGGAGCACTATGCATATGAACGTAGATCTGCTTGGACCGTTTACAGGTTAACCTGGTGTTATGAAGATGAATTTGTGTGAACTGCCGACCTAGTGGCAAGAGTTTGCACACTCGTCCAGGCAAGTTAACAAAAAGAGCCTTACAAAAATACCAGAAAGCTTTAAATTGCATAATTTTTTTTAAATCACATAATTGCAAAAAATTAAATAATGAGAGATATTGAGAAGAGAAAATTAATCACTTTGTTTTTAAAATTTACAAGATATAGAATAAACCTATATGTTTTGAGTACCATGTTGATATGTGAGTTGCATAGTTATTCAGTCGTGACAGACTCCTATGTTAAACATGATTGGGAACTACAATATGCTGACTCTTCTTTTCGTGGAAGGACTCCTTGGCAGTGTTGCTTGATGGACTACAGTCAAGGTTGTAGAGAGCATCCTCTATAGTCACATTTCATAGTTAGGGGATGGGGAGTGACACACTAGCTTGCTTCTTCTTGGTGTACACTAACAAACGGTAGTGGCCAACGTGGTCACTCTAGGTGACATGGCCCTTGACTATTCCCATTGTGTCCTTCACCTGTAGAGAAACTTTGGCATTCCCTAGAGATGAGGTATTAGGGGACTCCTTGCAAGTTTAGCATAGTAATAATTTAATTCCAACAATGAGTGACACTCATAAATGTACGAATTATCACACTATGATATTAAAACCTGAATGTCTTTCTTTTCCCATACGGTTTAGCACTCTACCCATGACTGCAATACAGTGGACCCCCGGTTAACGATTTTAATCCGTGCAAGAGGGGTAATTGTTATGCGAAATAATCGTTATGTGAATGAATTTTCCCCATAAGAAATAATGGAAATAAAATTAATTCGTGCAAGACACCCAAAAGTATGAAAAAAAAAATTTTACCACATGAAATATACATTTTCCCACACACAAAGAGAAGGATACATGCACAATAGTAGAGTAGTACATGCACAGTATATATTGTGCATGTACTAGTCTACTAAATGAAGAATAAATGACACTTACCTTTATTGAAGATGCAGCAATGACTGATGAGACACTGTGTCCTGGGAGTGCCTTTTCCTCCTGAGTACTGTAGGTCCTGTTTGGCATTTTCTTCCAGAACAGGCCTTATCAAAACTGTGTATGCCACTACGATTCTTAAATCTCTCAACCAACCTTTGCTGGCTTAAATTCCCCAATATGAGCACTAGTTCCGGGCATTTTTCCCTGTTCACCTGGGTTAGTCGACTTGTGGGGTTGAAATCCTGGAGACAAGATTAAGGACCCCAATGGAAATAAGTTAGACAGTCTTCGATGACACTGACTTTTTTGGGTTTATCCTGGGTGGCAAATCCCTGGGTTATTGTTTCTTGGTATTCTCAATAAGCCACACCAACAACGGTGCTACAGCAGCGCAGCAGCTGACAGTGCAGCAGCAGCAAGCAGCTGTACCCCCAAATAGTAGCGATGGTGATTGGGGTTTATTATACAACCTGGCCAGCTCGGAGACATGCACTCCACTTTCATACTTATCAATGATCTTTTTCTTCATCTCTATTGTAATTCTCACCCTTATTGCTGTAGGGTTGGCACTAGAAGCTTTCTTGGGGCCCATGGTCACTTTTTTTCCAGAAAAAGCACCGAAAACACTGTAATAATACGAAATATTCCGATTGTATGCTTGGATGTTACCGCGGAGGCTGGCTGGTAAACAATGCCACCGGCGGAACATGTGAGCGTGGCTCAGGCCGCGTCTCGGACGAAAATCGGTAAGCGGGTTTTTAAGCGGTATGTGAGGCAAAATTTTTGCGATTAAAGTAAGCGGTATGCGAAATAATCGCTATGTGATGCCATCGTTATGCGGGGGTCCACTGTACTAAGATATGTCTAACACAGTTTTCAGCTCTTATCATCTTGTAATCTTTTTACATTTGTTATCTAATGATGTGTGTGTGTATTACAGAAATATTACATCTTCATAATCAAACTTTTCAGACAAATCGTATTACCCATGGTAGTAGTAAGAAGTGTCTGGCTATCTCTCAAGACAGGAAGAAGCTAGTCATGGAAGACTGCAACTTGTCAGAATCAAGACAAAAATGGAAATTTGAAAATTATGATCCAAGTAAAAAGCTATGAAGACTAGTGTAAGTTAAAAGAAATGTTTGTTTTCTATTTTTTCAAGTGCCTGTGTGTATTTTTTATAATAAAAACGCAATGAGAAAAAATGCTATGTTGACTGATTTATTAAAGAATCTTTGTGTATTTTCTTAAGGTAGTTAATGAGATCTTGTTTGTTTATATTTTTTGCTTCTCTAGCAGCAGTTACTTTATACCAATAAAACCGTGCTTACTGCTTTCAGTATGCTCAATAGGTCAATATTTTTTCCTTGTGCTACAACAAATTTTACTTAATGTGCTTTTGAAAAACAAGCGAGTGCAAATGATCTATGAATTCGTGACTATAAATGTAAAGAATGTAAATATAAATGTATTCCTCTTACTGGAGCATAATTAACAGTAATAAATAAAAATTCATGGAATTTATGATACATGAATTAGTTGCGTGTGTTTTTGCAAATTATTTTTGTTAAAAATACGAACCTAGTCAAAGCTATTATTTGAAAGTAGTTAGCATTGGGTATGTTAAAAACTAACTGATTCTTCTTATATTCATAGGGAGGTGGTAAATCCTTTGGGGGGTTATATAGTGCTCAGGAAATCATAAGTACTTAATCTTTGGCTAAGATCTGGATGGTAAATGAGGAAATCTTAAGTAGTAAGGGGTTTATTGAAAGTAAATTGTTCAATAATACTGTACTTATGATGATGTTTAAGATATTCTTTGAGCTATTAATCATACTTGACTAAAAAATTTAATAGAGGAAAGGGCAATGCATTCATAAGTCTACAAATTACTACAAGGTTTTTAGACAAAATGAGCATTCACTTTTCAAGGCATGAGTGACTGAGGAGCCTCAGTATGTAGCAGCTTTGCCAAACAGAAATTGTAAATAAGGGTGTAATTTTGTTTCCATAATTTCATTCCATGTAATTAATCAACTTGTCAGTGGCGGCTGTTTGATGTGTGTACCTCAGAAGACATTTCCAGATAATTTAAAAACATCTTTTACAGCAAGACTTGTGCAACACATATTTATGAAAATGTTTCCAGTTATGATTGATAGTATTATTTGACGAAAGATAAAAAAAAGTGTGTAATGTACATAAGATAAATATTTATATTTATAATTCCATTTAATTATTCATTCTCATACTAGCATTGATGAAGAAACAGGATATTCTAATGACTATAAGCAATTTTGTACACATTTGTCTTGTCCTATATGTATGAAAAGTGTATTAAAAATAGTTATCTAGTAAGTTTTTTCCCGTGAACAGTAGTGTTAAATTATGGCCTCTAATGTATTGGTGCTCTGGACCTAAATCAAAGGTTAGCAATAGAGTGGAAGGGTAGATTCAGGGGTAACAAATCATACCTATTTTACTTTTAAGATAAATTCTAGATATGAATTGTTTAATGTGCAGTATTTGCCTAAAATATACTGCAATTGCAACCTTAGTTTTGCACTGATCTGTTAACCATTAATTTGACTTCAAGAGTAGATAATGGTTTGGTTTTGTTAGCCCGCTAGATGAAACTATCATTGTTTTGGGTAATATAGTAAATTCTTAAAAAATTTAAAACTGAAATCAGAGAATTTTTGTAAAATTTTCTTCTTTTAAGGCACTGTACTTAAGAGAATTGGCATCACATGGACTTCTTTATTTTATTGTTTAAACTTGTCTTTCTGTGTTGTCAGTTAGCCTTATGATTTCAACATTTTCCATGAACTGTATCCATGCTTGTTGATTTCCAAGATGCATTGTCCCAGGCAATGAATGGAAGAGGTGAAGACTGCTATATCGAGCGCTTTCCTATTAGACTCCTGCCTCGGTAATGACATGCGCCACATAAACTGATTTTCCCTTTCAAAGCAGCATAACTTACAGATGAGCAGCAAGGTATTCAGGGTTTGACTGTACATGGGTACTTTACTCCCTTTTCTTTCCAAATGACTTGTTAGACACAATTCTCTCTAGATTGTAGACATGGTGCACTGCTCACCCACAATAACCATCTGCTTGCAGGTGCTCTTGTCCCTCTCTTGTGCTGCAGACTGTGGAACATTGAAATCACTTTTTTTTTTAATTTTACATTAATGAGGACTTTGGAATTAATTTTAGAGTTTTGTTTTGAAATAGTTATTTTTTAAGTTATCTGGGTTATTTTCATGAGTGCTTCTTAGTGTAATTTTTTATATTTATTTTTGAAGGATAGTCTTAGCTTGTGAGTGCTGTGTATATATTAATAAGCATCGTGGAAAATCTTATAGGTCAAATAGCTCTGTAAATATAACAGCTTGTTTTCTTCTAAACTTCTCGCAAACCGAAATAAGTTTGCATTTAAATCAATTTGGGACCTTTAAATTTTCCTTATTGCTCTTTCATCTATAATTGTTCAACACTTTCAGGTAATTAGAAAGATGAAGGATTTGGGTAGTTTTTGCCACTTTTCTAACTTATACCCTCTAACCAAGAAGCTGATGTTCCCAAAAAAAGTACGTATTTGAAAATATAGAGAGTTAAAAACAGAGTAAAATAATTTTTTATTTTAAGGGGGAAGCATCCTTCATATGAAGATTTGTGGCTTTTGTTTTCTGATTAATATTTTTTCAAGCTTATTTGCCCTAAAGCCCTGAATGTACTCTCAAAATCATTATAACTGAGTAGTTCCTTTATTGATTCCTTGTAAGGATCACTAATGCATGAATTTTGAAGGCCATTTCCCACTATGTGGGTCAATAATTGAAGAAAGGTAATATAATACATGACAATTCCAAGTGAAGAATGTTCTGTTAAATTCCTAACTTAGGTTCCGTGGTAGATAGAGGGTACATTATACACATCTTCGTTCTCTATGTAGACGTACAATTGTTTGTTAAAAGCTAATATATTAAATGTTTGTACAAAGGTACATATATTATGATTTTTCACTTTTGTTATTGAATGCTCAAGACTGTGGAAAGTCATGAGCTTATCATTTGGTATTTTTTACTAATTTTTGAGACTTTCATAGTATATTTTTCCTATATCCTGTGGTACCATGATGAATTTGAGTCATCATAGTTTGATGATGTATATGCGGTATGCTGTATACTAAAATGGAAATATTGACTTCATACCCACTAAGTGTCACAAGAATAGTGTATTTTTCATGAAAGCCAAAGGATAAATATCCAAACTCAGAGCCGAATTTTTTATGGAATATGACATGCGTCACGGATTTACAGTAATCACTCGTAGTTGACATTTGTGAAATTAAACAAACGTTTCAGGTTATAGGAATCACTGAGTGTCGATTAGATTGAAGAAAAATTAAATTAAAATTGATAGTTACTTTGCCTTCACACACATATTTTATAGTTTATACACTTATATATTAGTGATTTTCATGCAAGAATGCTTATTTACTGTGAATGAAAGTACATCTTTACATCTCTTAAAACTCCTGAGAAATGAATGTTCTGTACCTTCATTGATTTCATTATTGTATATATTTTTGGAACTTGAAGCTTATACATGTATTTATTTATGCAGTTAGGTAACATTAATTTTCAGCCACCAGTAGGGAATCATTTTAAAAAGTATTATTTAGCTGCAACATTCCACTGTCATTCTATAGTATTGAATATCTGTATGTGTATATGTATATATCATATGCACACTTCACATGAAGTGGTTATACCTCCTCTTGAATTATATTTGAGTATTCTGTCACTGATTAGGTAAAAGTATTTGTCAACAAGTGAATGGTTAATTTCTAGAGAGGATGGTGTATGCTACAGTATAAATCTAACCATTATATCAGACTTATACATGGAAGATAGGACACCACGAGTGTAGCTCTGTAACTAACTAAAAACAGGTCATCACAAATACTTAATGATATGCATGAATAACAATGTTACACAATTTCCAGAAAGGGCTAATTTCGTAAAGCTAAATCAGTGCTGCTCCAGCCAGCATACACACAGATGCTAGCGCTCACTTGTAATATGAGTGGAAAAAGCAAACACTTTTGTGAATAATTGGTATTATAATGTTAAAAAATATATACATATCAACCATTAATTTACCAATGTTTCCATTTTGCATATTTAGTAATGATATGGATAGTGTTAAGCTGTTATGGCAGTGTATTTTGCATAATCAACTTGATGATTATCTGCCATACCATTGCTTCAGTGCTACCATTTAAAAAAAAAATTTAATTTGTTACATAGAAACATTCATATACAGTATATATATATATATATATATATATAATATATATATATATATATATATATATATATATAAATGCCATTTTCATAAATACGTATAAGATGGCCTAATTAACATCTTCCTGCTGTAAATTATACATGTTTGGCTTTCTTTGGAAGTGAAATTGCTTCTCTGTTCGTGTGCACGTACCATAATACTGTAGTATATTATGCATTCCCCTACTAGTGTAACACAATCCATATAGTGTACCATTTTCAATATAATTTTGACACCATATATTTTAAATAAATATACTAATGTGTTTGTAGTAAAAAATTGTTTTTGCAAAACATTTACTTAAATCAACAGTTATTTGGAGAGGGGAGGAAGTATTTTTTTTTATAATTGGTGTAGTACATTGATCTTAAATTATTAGAAATCATTGTTATTGACTTTTTTTTTTTTGTATATAAATACATCAGTTTGTTATAATGTATATTTAACAACTAATTTAATACAAATTATAAATATTTTTATGTAAGATACAGTATTTAACATGTAACATAGTTTATACATTATCAGTTTTAAATGAACTTTAATACAGCCATAGTCATTGGAAATGTATGCTCAGGCAAGGTCCATAATATTAAGAATGTGCATCCACAAGTTTTGTGGATGTATGTATCTTGTTTTAAAGTTTGAAAAGTGTAATTTGGCTTCAGTGCTTCATAATATATTAACTTAGTTATTTAAAACTCAGTAACACAGTATTATTTACTACTACACAGGATAAATACTTAGGGATCCCATTCATCCTGGTTTTAGGGGTGGTGTACCAAATTTGGTTCAGAACGCCATTTGTTCCCATTTTTTTGTTTTTTAATTCTATGTTAAACGAGTGTCTAATTTGAGTATTCTTATTCCTGTTATTTTATTATTTGTATCGGTATGTAATTTATTATGAGTTATATAATGACTGTAACCACAAATTACTGTTTTTTTTTTTTAATGAATGAAAGGCCTCCCAACTAAATTTATAAAGTGTCTCTGTGTTTGTTTGGTTAATATTGGGATTCCTACAAATACTTTATATTGTTCGAGATGCAGAGTTCCATCGCCTGCATGTGTGACTGCAAAAGCTTGCAGAGTGCATAGAAAATTTATTCAGGCAGTTTGTTTTGAAGCAGCTATTGGGTAATTACAGTTGAATCCCATTATCCTGGACTGTTTAGCCAAGAAATAACTACCTGAAACCTATTACTACAAATTGGCTAAACTGTAAGGTCGGGTACATGAAAATAAATAAAATAACATGAAAAAAACTTTCCGTAAGAGTAATCCAGAACGAGACTGCTAAATTCAGGTTAGGCAACAGTAACAGCCATGAGCCACTCTCCTCTACCTCTAATGCTTAACACATTCAACCTGTAGATTCTATGGCACTGCATTTATAGGAACAAGCTATCTGGAGAGTAATAAGTACTCTACATGTGCTCTTGGCTTTATTGTACAGTATTTAAAAAGTGTACAAGGGCTTGTTGAATGTTTTGATTGTGGTGCAAAAAGATTGTTAGCAGACTTCAGATGATGCTTGCTAATGATAGTGGATGCATTAAAAATGTAATTGTCCTCAAGTTATAAGGTTCAGTTTTAGAATACAGCAGGGCTCCGCTAATACGGACATTTCAAACTGTGACCAAAACTCGCTATAGGGCTCCCCGTCTTTCTAATCATTGCACCCCACCCAGTTTGCTTACATGAGTATGACTTTCCATTATGTTTGGAAACTTTTTAAGCGTTTTCATTTCATATTTTATATATACTCTGATAATTATACTTATGTGTAACTGTACCTAAATAAACTTACTGTGCTGGCATGCAAACACACGTTAAATCACAGAGTGTATTATTAGTCTTGAAGACACCATATTAATAATAACACACAGTAATAATCACTCTGAGGCGCATTAAATGTCGTATAAAACGTTAATATAGATATTTTGCTTAATCCATCTGATATTTTTTCAAAACAATATAATAAACCATGATACACAACACATAGCATAAATTAGCAAAAACGAAGATATTTTTTTCCAGTCTATTGTCGGAGTGTCTGAAAAAAGTATTTCTCAGTCACACACAAAAAAAATTAGTACACAATATTACTTGCGGGTAACTATAAAATATTCTTTTGAGCCTTCACACGAAGCACATCTTCAAAAATGGTGGTACTATAAATGGAGTGTTGCTCTTTTGTATTCTACTCACCAACGTGAGACAACTTGCTACAATGTGTAAGGTAATTGCATTATGATATAGTTTACAATATGGAAATGAACATGTATAAACCCACCAGATTAAGTTTGTTGTTTGTTTACATACTCTGTCTACTTTTATACTCATTCTGTATAGTCCTTGTGGCTTAGCGCTTCTTTTTTGATTATAATAATAATCTTTTACTCATTCTCTCTCTCTTGTTTATTCGTTTTTATCATTTACTTATCTCTTACCCTACATTAAGACTACAAATATTTTAAGGTAAGTAATGAGTACACTATATGCATTTTATTGTTCTAGGGCACTTTAAATGTCGTATTATATTACGGGTGTGCGGGTTGGCCAGGTGGACTACCATCCCTACCACACCTGAGTACTTCCAATAAACCTTATTCTTCACCCTACATTAAAACTACAAATATTTTGAGGTAAGTAATGAGTGTACTGTGTATTTTACTTTTTATAATTTTCTTAATGCCTAATTCTATTGCTAACTTAATATATGTTAGTGTAAACTAATCAGATATTTATAAGTAGAAACCAATGGCGTTCCGCTTTCCTGTGGTAGTCTGGAACCTGCAGTATGAGTGGGGCCCTACTGTAATTCATGGAAAGGGATAGCTCATAACATTTAAATTAAATCACCTGTAGCATAATCAGAAGAAATGCAGTACTCTGTCCATTGATGGGTTGTATTCGGTTTCACGGCAGTACTTTTATCATATTTTAGCTATACAGGCGAATAATTATAATTAACATTTATGGTGAAATGTTTGATAGTTATAAATCTGCAAAAAATGTATTTGTTAATGAGTGATAAGAAATAATATAAAGAGCAAGAATAAGTGAGATTGCAAGACAAATGCCAAATGAGAATTTTTGTTTTTTTAATATGGCCAAAACCACACAATATCTTTGGCCATGAATTATGTTATCATTACACATTCCCATGCTGTCTGTTATCAGAAATCCACAATAACTATAATTGTTCAATTGTATCTGTTAGTGACTAAATAGTGAAGAGAGAAGAAAGTTGCAAAAGATTGTGGAAAGTTGTGATCACTGACACACGGATTACCTTCCTTTTACATTTACATTATATTGCACATTACTCGGTCTTCTAGTGTGCAGTGTTTACTGTAGTTAAAATTCTATACTAATTTTCTGGTGACTGATAAGAAATATAGTGGCTGCTTTGATAAGTTTACAGTAATAAATGCAATATATTTTCATTTCATTGCAGGATATAGTGCAGTGAGAAAAGAAAGATACAATTTTGAAAAATTGTGAGATACAGGCACAACATGCATCATACCTGGAGATAATCACATTTATTAAAAAATGAAAATGATCCAGGGAGAGGCTCAATTTTAGAAAAATTTTCACATACTTTGTGTCCAATATTGTACCTGTATGCGTGTGCATAATAAAAAAAAAAAATAGAAAATGCTGTTTATTAACAGCTTAACCTAGGATTCACCAGTATATATAATGCGACATCCAACATAATGTACATATTCAGCCTGGAAATTATTACAGAAGAGATAACTGCACTGTTAGTAGTACTTTTATTAGAATTTTTTGAGAGGTTGCCAAAACTCTGAAATGTTTAAGGCTGATTTCCTCTTTAAGCGCAGAGCCATGATATCGGTGATTGCATTCCATTCTCCATTAATATATTGCATGACCCCGACGGGTTTAGCACTTACCACTGGTTATAATACTAAAAATAGAATTTCACTTATGGCAGATATTCCTGGTCTTCAATGAGTCTTTGATAATGGGATTAAGCTGTACAATGTGTGTGTGTATTTTATGTATATACATTATACATATACAACAAACTGGCCGTATCCCACCGACGCGGGGTGGCCCAAAAATAAAAACGAAAGTTTCTCCTTTTAAATTTATTAATATATACAGGAGGGGTTACTAGCTCCTGGCATTTTGGTCGCCTCTTACGACATGCATGGCTTAGGGAGGGGGAAGTCTGTTCCACTTTCCCATGGAGATAGGAAATAAAAAAGAACAACTAGTAAGAAAATAGAAAACCCAGAGGGGTGTGTGTGTGTATGCTTGTACATGCAAGTATAGTGTGACCTAAGTGTAGGTAGAAGTAACAAGACGTACCTGAAATCTTGCGTGTTTATGAGACAGAAAAAAGGCACCAGCAATCGTACCATTATGTAAAACAATTACAGGCTTCCCTATAATATATATATCCATGTATGTATATACATGTATATTCTCCATGGGGAAGCGGAACAGAATTCTTCCTCCGTAAGCTATGCGTATTGTAAGAGGCGACTAAAATGCCAGGAGCCAGGGGCTAGTAACCCCTTCTCCTGTATATAATACTAAATGTAAAAGGAGAAACTTTCATTTTTCCTTTTGGGCCACCCCGCCTCGGTGGGATACAGCCGGTGTGCTGAAAGATTTATATATACACACGTAATGTGTCAAATGGGTAAAACTAGTCTATTAGAAAGAACTCGTATAAAATTAAGTCCTTTCTAAAATTTTCTCTTATACATTTAAAGATAAAAGTTAATGATTTTGTACCAAAAGCACTTTAGGAAACTTGCCTAACCTTATTATAACAAGCGCAATTTAATTTAGCCTAAGTCAACTAAATATATACAAGTTTACAATAATTTAATAAAAGACAAACACAACGTAATATATTTTTTCGTTAGATTCAGAATGACTTTTGCAAAATTATTGCATACACAAACTTTCACTTACTCTATTCGGCAAGAAGTGTGTTGCTATTTAAGCCAAAATAGCAAGTTTTACTTATTTGGCACAACATACATATATATCTAGGGTCATCCTAAGACAGGATGGAAGGGGTACAAGAGGTTTTGTGTGCAAGGGGCCTGGACATTCAGCAGGCATCTTACCATTTTGTCCTAAGCACATGTCGATTAGACACTAGGCCTGTTGTATATGCGTGTGTGGTTGCAGGGGTTGAGTCACAGCTCCTGGCCCTGCCTCTTCTCAGGCTGCTGCTAGGTCACTTCCTGCTCCATGAGCTTTATCATACCTCTTCTTAAAGGTATGTATGGATCCTGCCTCCACTATATCACTTCCCAGACTGTTTCACTTCCCGACAACTGTGACTGAAGAAATAATTCCTAACATCCCTGTGATTCATCCAAGTCTTCAACTTCCAACTGTGACCCCTTGTTGCTGTGTCCCATCTCTGGAACATCCTGTCTCTGTTCACCTTGTCAATTCCTCTTGGTATTTTTGTGTGTGTGTGTGTGTGTGTGTGTGTGTGTGTGTGTGTTACGATTTTGACCTAGGCACAAGTCGATTAGACACTAAGCCTGTTGTATATGCGTGCATGTGTACTCGCCTATTTGTGGTTGCAGGCATCGAGACATGGCTCCTTGTCCTGTCTCTTCACTGATCGCTACTAGGTCCTCATCTTAAAGCTATGTATGGGTCCTGCCTTCACTGCCTCACTTGCTAGGCTATTCCATTTCCTAACTATATGGCTGAAGAAATACTTCCTAACATCCCTTTGACTCATCTGGGTCCCCTCTCTGTAACATCCTGTTTCTGTCCACCTTGTCTATTCCACGAAGTATTTTGTATATCGTTATCATGTCTCCCCTAACCCTCCTGTCCTCCAGTGTCGTCAGGCCGATTTCCCTGAACCTTTCTTCGTAGGACATTCCCCTTAGCTCTGGAGCTAACCTTGTCGC